AGAGAGAGAGAGAGAGACAGAGAGACAGAGAGACAGAGAGACAGAGAGACAGAGGCAGAGAGAGAGAGAGAGAGAGGAGAGAGAAGAGAGAGAGGGGGGGAGAGGGGAGAGAGAGAGAGAGAGAGAGAGAGAGAGAGAGAGAGAGAGAGAGAGAGAGAGAGAGAGAGAGAGAGAGAGAGAGAGAGAGACAGAGACAGAGAGAGAGAGAGAGAGAGGGGGGGGGGGAGAGAGGAAGGAGGTAGAGAAAGAGAGGGGGGAGAGAAAGAGGAGGAGGAGGAGAAAAAAAGGGGGGAGAGAGAGAAAGAAAGAGGAGGAGGAGAAAAAGAGAGGGATAGAGAGAGAGAAAGAAAGACTAAGACTGAGACTAAGAAAGACAGAGATAGACAGAGAGAGAAGCAAACAATATAACATCTGAGGGAGAATCATGGATATACAGCATTTAAAGCGATGTGAAAAAAATTGATTGATTATTAAGTGCATCTAGACTGGAGGTTATTAATCTCGTACATATAGAAAAACTTCAAACAGAGTGAAGTTTAATCAAGCAGAAGAAATAGGCATAATAGATTTAATTAGGCAGAATAGTTCGATTTTAATGAACTACAAATACATGAATAGATTAGGTGCAGGTTTAGAACAGATAGTGGGAAATTTGGAAAACGTATTTGATAGGTATATATCGTATTGCAATGGACTTCAAAGAGGGGCCATTCGTTTACGTATAATGTAATCTGAATTCTCTTGTTTGCATGTTATAAATGGATGAGATTTCACTCGTTTCATGCTACTGTTAATTGTAGATGTCTGTATACGTTTATGCTGAAGGAATCAGTTTTCAGCAGCATGTTCCTTAAATGTTATTAGCATATATTTTAATAGTAAACGTGGCAAACAATATTTTCAAGTGCAAGTTATGAAGCTTTTAATATTTTTTACTTTGAATGCAAGTGGATTTTTAAGGCTTGTGACATTCGTTACCCATTCATTGCGAGTAATCATGCTTCGAGGGTCATTAATGTATATGTTTATATATATATGTATATACATATATATTATATATATATATATATATATATATATATATATATATATATATATATATATATATATATATATATATATACACACTTTGTGTGCATATGCATGTATCTCTCTCTCTCTCTCTCTCTCTCTCTCTCTCTCTCTCTCTCTCTCTCTCTATATATATATATATATATATATATATATATATATATATATATGTGTGTGTGTGTGTGTGTGTGTGTGTGTGTGTGTGTGTGTGTGTGTGTGTGTGTGTGTGTGTATGTATTCATTTATTCATTTGTCAGTAGAAGACAGTTTCAATGAACTATATGCGCGTATTTATAGTTTACAATATATTGTGCATTTGATAGATTTCTGGCTTTTTATGTATTTTTTGCATGTGCTTTTGCATATATCTGCATGGCAGGAAAGCGCTTTCGTTTTTAAAGATTGGCAAATCAAATATATACTGGAAGATACTTTTGAGTTTATTTTGATTTTCTGAAATACTTTTAGAGGAAAAAGAATCACCACATAACGTCCAAGTTCGAACCTGGAAGAGACTGCGCTGAAATTCCCTCGTGTGGGCTAAGCAGCACCTCTCTGCGCAGGTCCTTGCTTCCTTCGTCGCTCGATCTCTCGGGTCACGCTCGCCTAATCCTTCTTGACCACAACGGCGTGGGTGGCGCCGTAGGTAAGAGGGGTGCCGATGACAGCACCGTGGGTAGCTCCGTAGGTGACGGGGTGAGCGCCGACGACAGCACCTTGGGCAACAACACCGTGGGCAGCGCCGAGGACAGCACCTTGGGCAACAACACCGTGGGCAGCGCCGTAGGTGACGGCGGCGGGGGCGGCGGCAACGTGGTGCTGTACGTGGACCTGCTCGTGCACGGGCACGGGCACGGCGTAGGGCTGTGGCACGGCGATGGGCTGGTGCACGGCGTAGGGCTGGGGCACGGCGTAGGGCTCAGGCACGTACTTGTGCTGGATGGGGGTGACTTCCTTGGTCTCGTAGACGGGCTTGGGCACGGCCACGTCGTAGGTCTTCTCGATGATCTTGAGTTCGGGGCGAACCTCGGTGACCTGGGGAGTGTAGGAGATGACGGGGCGGCCGAGGGCCTTGACGGGCGTGCGCTGGACCAGGAGCTCGGGGGCGGGAGCCTCGCCGGCGGGCACGGGCGCGGGCACGTTCAGGTTCACGTTGGAGTAGGCCACGGCGGCGGGGGCTACGGCGGGAGCTACGGCATAAGGTGTCGCCAGGAGGGTGGTGCCCCCCATGACGGAGGCGAGCACGAAAGGCAGCAGGCACTGTCGAAGAACGAGACCGCACGTCAGACACTTATACACGTGTGAACTGTGCGTGTAAATATTCATATGTAAATGTGTGTGTGTGTGTGTGTGTGTGTGTGTGTGTGTGTGTGTGTGTGTGTGTGTGTGTGTGTGTGTGTGTGTGTGTGTGTGTGTGTGTTGTGTGTGT